TTTCTACATCCTCAATTGTACGAACCATTTGACAAGGTTGTTTGTGAGAACATTTATTTGATGTCCGTTCATTTGGGATTTATCGATAGCGAATGCTGCTGTTCTGTCTCCAAACGGGACTCGAATCGGGCACCTTTGTTCGGTTATCGGTCATTCGCGTGGGTCGGTGTTTCGGCTCTGTTGCGCACATAGTTGTAGGCAAAACGTGGTATCCACTTGTATACAAGTAATCACTTCCCCAAACCACATATGAGAGCACGTGCGCGAGCAGGGACGTATTAACAATTGATCAATGCCATCGGGAGACGGTCAAGCCGGTCTGCTTAACCAGCAGTGAATCAGTCAACGAGGACAGCTCAACACTGAAGTCTGATTGGTTGCAGCCAGTTAATCATTATAATCTTACAAATGATGAACATTTTAGGACACTTACAACAGTCTGACTCAGTCCATCCACACTTATCTGTTTCTTACGAAACGAAAACCAACAACACTCTAGCTTTTCTCAATATAAAAGTTACAAGACGGATAAATGGGACACTACAACGCTCGGTCTATCGAAAAGCGACATGAAACAGTCAATACAGCTTTTCCCCCATGACTTACAAATGTGGGCTTGTGAGAACCTTATTTCATCGAGCGAGAAACATTTGTTCTCCAGATGCACTAAAGGAAGAAGAGGATTTCCTAAGGAGAGCATTGCCAACCAATGGCTACTCAGAACGGTGTATAGAAATTCATACTAGACCATTCCCAAAAGGTAACCCAACCCAAAATGTCAGTAAAAAGGCCATCTAAATCAAGCGTGCGTTCAAAGATGACCACATTTACAATGATGTGTGCCCGAATTTGAGGTCAGCTCTAGACCACAGATTCCCCGCGGCTGGGCTCAGACTCAATGCCTCCACTCGTGGAATTGATTTGGACAAAGGTAAACTTGGCGGGCCGTATAACAGTTAACATGCAGTTGCAGTGACCCGGTGACTCATACATAGGCAAAACAAACCACCAGCTCTCGCAACGGATGGCCGAACATATTTCCAAGTGGTTGGTGAAATTGACCACTCAACCGATAATTGATTGTTAGGTGATTACAAGAAATCCAGGGTCATCTGTTGCAAAACATCTGATGGCAACAACACACTCAGTTGACCCAAATTCGTCTTTAAAACCACAATTATGTAATCGCAATGATAAACTTTTGACGATTAGTGAAGTAATGCTTATTAGATTACACCACCCGACCTTATGTGCGCAAACGTTTTTGATACAATCAATCCACTTCCCGTGGAATTGAACCTTTAGTACTAAATTTGACAGAATAACACGAGTAACGAACAAGCTCGTTTTCGACAACTTCATCCTCTGGCTAATGAATACAGTTATATACATTTAGTGAATAAACGTGCAACAAATAATGTCAGAACGAAAATGCGTTGATTGGACGGCATGGAAGTGGTTGGGAAAGAGGTGAAAACCAAAAAAGTGTTGATCCGTGGTTTTAGAATGGGGAATCGTGAAAACAGAGAAAGGAGAGGGAGGGGCAGAGGGATGAAACAGGAAGGGAGAGGTCACACACACACTTAGGTCAAAGGGTCACGAGAAGGGTATCTGTAGGGCTTTGATGAATTGTTTTTGTGAGCATAGAGTTGGTCGCAATAACCTTATTGCTACCGCCTCTGCTGTCGCAAGACGGCACTGTCGGAGGGTTTTGGGAGNCCTTGTGATAATTTTGAACGCATCTTCAGTTATCTGATGTCCGGTATCTACGAGGTGCGCCGTGATTGCACTCGAAACTGTTCTTGTGGTTCCTGTGTTTAACCAAGTCAGTTTGTGTGTTTGTGTTCCTTGATTCTTTAAGCAAACTGCCTGATCGTCCTACCTATGTAGCCTGCCGAACATGAGCACACAAAAGAATAGGTCAACATGGAGGAAGTGAGGATAGGCAATTTATCTTTGAGATTCAATGACAACAAAGATCGGCTGGTGAATTGTGTACGTAACTGGGCCACAGGAAACGTTCACCCGACCGACTTATCTAGGCGTCTTGTTAACATTGCATTTGTAGTCACATTTGAACAGGAGACGTATACAGATTTGCTTTTGGCTTACTGTGGTCACCGTTGTTCTTTTGGCTCTTTCACATAGATACTTTTCAATAAATCTCTTGGGATAGCTGTTGTTCAATAGTGCAGCAGCTATTTGAGATAATTTGTCGTATGGGAGCATTTCGCCAGTTGCAAGGATAGGGTGACCAACCGCAACCCGAGACACCCATCCACCCCGACCATAATGAGGCTATCGGAGAAATGGGAAAAAGTTACTTAAAGATGCTTTATCGACTCAACCTTAGGTATTCCATTGTGTTTAATATGTACAGACGGCCATTTATTCTCAACAATGGCCACTTGAATTTAGTCTATGTAAAAGAGAATATAATTATCACTGAATACAAATACTCCCTTGGAATCAATACAGACGTATTGCAATGGAACTGAACTGAGGGATACCATGTGAAAACGAAACGGATTCTAATAATGATACAGCTAAATTGATCTATGCAAAAAATTTGGCCTTCNCCGTTGTTCTTTTGGCTCTTTCACATAGATACTTTTCAATAAATCTCTTGAGATAGCCATTTTTCAGTAGGGCTTGCCTGAGACGGTTCAATNTCTTGGGATAGCTGTTGTTCAATAGTGCAGCAGCTATTTGAGATAATTTGTCGTATGGGAGCATTTCGCCAGTTGCAAGGATAGGGTGACCAACCGCAACCCGAGACACCCATCCACCCCGACCATAATGAGGCTATCGGAGAAATGGGAAAAAGTTACTTAAAGATGCTTTATCGACTCAACCTTAGGTATTCCATTGTGTTTAATATGTACAGACGGCCATTTATTCTCAACAATGGCCACTTGAATTTAGTCTATGTAAAAGAGAATATAATTATCACTGAATACAAATACTCCCTTGGAATCAATACAGACGTATTGCAATGGAACTGAACTGAGGGATACCATGTGAAAACGAAACGGATTCTAATAATGATACAGCTAAATTGATCTATGCAAAAAATTTGGCCTTCTTGATGTGAAATGCTATCCACCCCAAGAGAATGATGAATTCACCTAAGAGGTTGAAGAACACATCGATTTTTATTAGGCAAAAATGGTACACGATCGCAATCTCAACTAGGTTCCGGATTTCCTGATCAAGAAGATTCTTCTAAGCATGAAGGATATGGAATACCTTTCCAGAATCCAAAGCCTGCCCCACGAATTCACCTTGGACATCGTCATTCGGGTGCCTGTTCGGCCTAAAAATGAACCAGCCCATTATCTGGATAGATCGGTTTAACAGCCACATTCAGATGAGAATATATATATATATAAGTGGTCTTGTATTCGATATCCATGGCTGTCATTCGACGTTTTGGAATCGTGGGAAGCGGAAATCTGCACACGGTTTTGAAATAATAGGCATAAGTGAGGTTTCCCTTGAGAATGTGCATCGGCGAAGGGGGCACTCCAGCTCATTACAGAACCCCCCGCTGCACTCGTGTAGGAGCAACGACTGAAGACTAACTTGCTCATACACGGGTCCGGCGAGTAGTACACTAGTTCACCGGTATTGTCGAGATTAGTTTTTCACTGAATGTCACATTGCTTCATTCTGAAATTCAGTGGATGTGACTTCTAATCCACGCAAGTAGTACATCACTCTGACGATCCATGGTACAGTTCGTAACAGTTGTTCTATGCATCGCACACTCTTACTCAAGTGTGTTATGATCGCTGTAACTTCACCGCACCTACTACGTGATTTGAGGCACCCGGTAAGAGGGCTGTCTCATGCTCTGATCAGAGATCATTTTGTAACGCTAGGCAAGTTGAGCACGTCACGATCATTCTGGATTGAGTGTGAGTCGTGTGTAGTATGTCTCTCGCTGGACCTTTTGGTTCTTGGTTGTTTTGTACTCTCCCTATCTTGCAGTTTGTTTAGAAATCCCCCTTCCACGAAGAACCTGTTCTCCGAAGTATCTCTCGCCTGTGCATTGAGAGCGTCTGTACTGGGCTGCGTTT